TTAGGGGGTAAAAGTACTTTAAACTGTATAAATTCAATTGAATAAAATTGGCCAATCACGAGAAAGTTAGCCTATATTATTGACTAGTGATCCGAACCGTCCAAAAAACGTATGAAAAAAATTCTGTGCCAGGTTTTGTCGATCATTTGCGTCAGGTTACACAAATTCGTATTTATGCATACGTGTGTAACAGTTCTATACATCCCGCATTTTATAAAATTAAAGAATACGAATATATTAGCATCACGATTTACAAAAAGCTTTCACTGGCTATTAAATCGTCTGGATCATCCTCCTTAACATTAATCATCGCAAGATATTTATCTGGTTGAAGTCATTAGTGTTAGTTTTGGTAATAATATTAGTGCCTTTAACTAAATAAATCAAAAACTTATCTTCGGTATTAAACCGGGTCTAACATTTTTTTCAACATCATATCCGAACTATTAAAAAAAAGGCTTATTAGATTAGTGCATAATTTAATATACAATACTATTGAACTTCAGTTATTTCACAGCTCTTCTATATAAAGTAATGCACTCTAAGATTTAATTTATATCATATCTAAGTTATTTTTTAATTTTAGTATTCATTATTTTCAGGTTATATAAAATTGTTATTTAAATCAATTTATTTAATACGTATTGTCTAATTTATTTCACAATTACTTACATGCGACAAGCTAAAATATATGTGAATGTTGTATGACAAGTCTTATGTAGTATTAGAACCTTTTATTATAAACAATTATAATGTACCCTAGGGATGGCTAATCAACATATAGTGCGACAAATTTAAAAAAATGATTAAAATAAAAATAATTAACGTTATAACATATATTGATTGTATTATAAATATTATCTCATATAGTAGATAGCATTGCTATACTTTATGAAACGTTGTCTTAAATTCACAAATTTGATTCTTTTACATCTGTAATAAAATTTGCTTGAAAATATAAACTTTTTGAAACATACTGTATAATAGCGCAATGTAATTATCGAAATTAAGTGACAGCTTTGGTAAAACTGATACTAATTACATGCAAACTATTTAATTCAACAGATTCTTATTAATGTTTTTACTAAGGCTGTACGCTTTTTTGCCAACTGCCCGAACTTTACATGCTGGAATTGTATGAGGATCGTTCTTTTTGCCCTTAATAGTTTTCCTGCACTTTACTGATTCAACTTGTACGCGAATTTTCGCACTACTTCTTATACGTACAAGAGGATCAGTATTGCAATTTATGTCATTTAGAAAAGCTGTTAAAGCTGGAATAGATCTAGTTTTTGCTGCATTGTACCTAGTGATGTGCCGCGTACAGTACTATACGTACTGTACGTACTGTACGCGAGAATTTTGTCGATCATTTTATATGTAG